ACGGTTCCGTGTTGCTCACATGAGCCTCTACAACATTCAGAAAACCGTTTTGATAAACCGCTCCATGTCCTGAGAAACCCTCCCTGTAAGGGCAAGTGATGCAGCTTATTTATTTATATCCTTTTTTAAGTTGAATAAAGTAGGATATAGTAAGTTACGCCCGTTCCCACGCAAGTAATCTGGGATCAAATCTCACCTACCCAATTCCTTCACCCCTTCTGGGATGATCGGACCCCTCCATGAACTAAGAAAACTGAACCACAGATCGGCCGACTTCTGATCTGAATCTGATTTGACCCATTGCTTCTAATGCTCCTACAGATTTGATGAAAGAAGTGGCGCATCCCAAATGAAAGTGATCAACCTCGAATGCACCATTTTCTTTTATCATATCTTTCTTTGACCCCACTGTGCTTCACTTGGACACTTTTCCCCCGTGAAGGGTTTTTATGGGAAGCAACCTTTGATCAGGTCCTGTTTCAATGCTCAGAGGACGGCCCTCTTGTTTGCATTTGTATCCATAGTTCATGCATCATCTGCTAGCCCCACAAGAACGTCACAGCGCGAGCAAGGTGACGAGTTCTCAGATGTCCTCTACTTCTCGCTTGTGACCTGTGAGACTGGTCACCTCACAGAAATATGCATTTGCTATAGTATGTTTCAAGGAATTAGGTAGTGCGGTACAGAGCGGAGCGGAGGCATTCTGCACCTGAATCGTAAACATCGGAGGCAGTGTCAGCAGGGCGGAGAGGGCGTGCGCGAGAAATCATCGCACGAGAGAAAGTCGCCGTCGCCACCGTCATCGTCCTCGTCTTCGCCGCCGTTCCGACGATCCGCAGACGGTTTCGCATCCTCTCCGTCGTCCACTCGTTCTCGCACGTGTGAACTTTCCGATATTCACGGTCTAGGCTTGCTCGCTCATGGCCAATCACGGACCGAGCTACGGCCTCAGCCGAGAACTCGAGAAAAAGGTAAGCTTCCCTCGACGTTTTTCATTACACCACATTTACTGCTGCGTAGAGCTTTTCACGCCATGTGCCCTTTTTCCTTGTTTTTGTTCGCTTTGAGTTTCTTTTGAAGCCATTTTTGCATTTATTATTTTCAATTAAAGAGATACCGGTAATTACATTTGGGAATTGTGAACGATGCGTGGCCTTATCATCGTGGCTCTCCGTTCAACCCTTTGAGCCTATGACAAATTTTTGAGCAGTAAGCTCAAAAGATTTGTCAAAATTCCATTACTCTAGTTTCACCAATACGGCTCATTCAAGTTCTTTAGTATTTTTCATGAACAAATTCTTCTTCATAGCGCCTGCTCTGAAAAGAGTACCCATTCTACGATTTGAGGTGGAAAGCTTGTCCGCTTCTAGTAAGAAGTAAAGCCGTGTGAAATTTGATCAAATTGGGAAG